AGTGGATATTTAGGCCAGGCCTCAATACAATGGAATATTAAATATTAAAACATTAAATATTAAAATATTTCAAATTAATATTTTAATTAATATTCAATAATATCAAATGATTAATTAAATTAATTAATTATTTAATAATTAATTAATTAAATATTAAATATTTAATTAATATTTTATATTAAAATATTTAATATTAAAATATTAAAGCCTTTTAATTTAAACTCTGGGAGTCTAAGTCCCTCCAACGTTTTAACAGGCAGGAGAGGGGAGTTCTTTCAGGGATCTTGAAGGAATTTGTGCCCATCTGTGGACAAGAGAAAGGGACTTGTGAGTCAAGGTCCCCAATCAGACATCTCCAATTAGGTCCTGATTCCTTATATTGGGTAAATGATACTGTCCAAAGGCTCTGAAGAGGGTAAATTCTTCACTCTGTAAAGAATTAAAGGATGGGGAAATAAAGCAAAATAGGATTTATGAAAAACAGAACTATTGAAACAAAGTCAGTCACCATGATTGTGAAGTGGATGTTGGTAGCATCAATGCCACAAAGCGCACACAGATAATGAAGTCAGCGAATGAAGGCAAAGTCAGAACAAAAAGGCTTCTCAAAAGTGAAGGGGACCCTGGAAACCAGTAGTCCCCCTCAAGTGCCCAAGGGCTTTCTTTTCACTCCCTTCTAGTCCCTCCTCTTCTCCTTCTCCACGTGGGACATGTAGTCTCTGACAAGGGGAACGGTGCAAGCCAATCAAACAAAGGGTTGCAAAAGGAGCAAGGGACCTGCTGAGGGCATAGCCCAGAGAGCAGACAGCAGGAGTCAGCAGGGAGTGTTCATTCCCAAAGTCTTTAAGAAGGCAGCCCATTGCTGCCTGGGCCAATGGGGTTGGCCATTCATGATGGAAATCTGGGAGTTTCAGTGCTAATCATGGCTGGGGGGACTCCCTGAGATGATGCAGCTTCAGAGGTACTGGATACTCAAAGATCGTTCTCTGACTTCTCCCATCCGGGCTAGGCCTGGTAGATGCTGACTTTGAATCAGAGATTTGGAGAGCTCTCAATATCCTGGGGGAGCACCCAAAGATGTTACCGTCTAGAAGTATGGATTCTTTTTCTCCATGGATAAAGAATTAAGAGGCAGAAAAAGTGAAAGTTTAGCAAAGTTTATTGGGGAAGCAGAAAGTGAAAGGATTTTTATTGGGGACACAGAAAAGTGAAAGTTAAAGCAGAGAACTCCTTCAAGGAGGAGGGGGCCTAGAAATCGGTAGTCTGCTGATGTCCTTTGGGATTTCCCCTTTCAGAATCCTCTCTCCTTCCCCCGGTGGCCTGGGATATACTCTCCATTTCAATTTGCCTGGTCTTCAGTCCCCTCTGTCTCGTGGTCTTTCCTCTTTCCCCTGCCTGCGAGCGCTGCACAGAAGTGCAGGGGTCTTCCCAGTTCCAGGGCATGTTGGGAAGAAGCCCCAAAGTCACCAGTGCTTTGTAGACTCTATCAGCCATGTAGAATCCACCAATTTTTTTCCTGGTCTGCCTGTATTCCACTATCTATACCTTACTACTTCTTTCACTCACTCATCATACAACCAAGTTTCCAATTCTTCTCCATTTTCATAGTCTTCCTCTTCTAAGCACATTCTGGTTTATAAGCCATCTCCTCTTGAAATTGAAGTTTTCATCCCAGGGTCCAAACTCCTGAGATTCCATATATCAGGTCTGGCTACCTGCTCTTAAATGCTAAATGAAGAAGCATGGTGAAGGCAGGAAAAGGAGATTTATTACATGGCTCAGAACATACCATGGAAAGAAGCAGAATAAGTAGTCAGCTGTTAATGGTGCTGGTACAGTCGGTGATCAGAAGACTTTCAAATTCTTTGTGTCCAGTGGGAAGAATCCATTGCAGGATACATTGAATGTAAATGGAATTTATTAAAAGTTAGGAAAGAAAACTACAAAGGGTAGCATGGTAGGGCCCAGATGGAAATCAAAAGCTGAGAGAGTGTGTTTCTGCTCTGTCAGGTGTTTTTAAAACCTCAATAACCTATGGGAAGAGGAGAATCTTCTCTCCTGAAAATCAATGAGTGGAGAGGGGCATGGCAGTTCCCATCCAGAACCACGGTTAATCTAAGATGTAATATTTTTCTGGAAGTCCTGAGCTTTCCCTAATTTAGCCTGCCTCAAGCTTATCTTCAGCCATCTTCATTCAAACAGACCGTCAGTCATGGACACAGTATCACATGCTTTCTGATGGCAGGTCAAATGGTAGAGCTGCTAGAGGCTGATGATCTGGGTTTATGTCTTGCTTCTGCTTATAATTTCCAAACTCTTTTTTCTGTACTTCTAGAATGGTCCATGATAATTTATAGCATTCAATGCTTAAATTATTTTTACCATGGCAAAGTTCCTTAAACATCATAGGGTGTTCTGCCTAAGAGGGTCATTGTTCCTGGTATCTAAGGTGAGTCAGGTTTAGGTCAATAGGGAGACTTTCAGATGTCATAGCATCATAGATAAGACTCTGGGAGCCATCTTGAACAGCAATATCTGTTAGTACAGGATTTGGGGAGATCTATCAGGTTTTGTTTTAGCTGTGTCACGTGTTAAACTATAGCAACCTATAGTGGACATAATTGAATCACATGATTTGTACATTTTGAATATCAAAAAATATGAGTACCAGGCAACTGTAATTTGCCAGTATGGAATAGCTTTTAGTTGGTTAGTTCAACTACAGTGAGAAATCTGCTCTCCACTAATACTATATTAGGGATTCTGAAGATTCTCAGCCTCTGTTATCCATCTATTCTCTACTCCATTTTAGGCTAGCTTCTCTGAAACTTGGAATTTCAAGCTGCTTTTCCTTATCACATTTTTAAAATAGTTGTAGATTGTTTTTCTTTTGGATGCACTTCTTTATTTCTATCTTATTTGCTATCACTGAATATAAACACAATGGATCCTGTCACAGGAGGATGTTACCTATAGTACCCAGAGTTGCACTCATCAAGGACAAAGCATTAGACTTGAAGTGACCACTGAGTGACTAACTCTGCCACCTTGTTTGCTGGTAATATCACCAGTAGAGTTATACTACAAGGGCTCTTCATATAACTGTTTTGGTTTTGATTGTTTGTTTGAGGTACTTGAATTAAGAGAAAGAGGAAATAAAGTATGAAAGCCAACTGAAAAAAATGGGACAGGGTATTCAACTGATTGGACTCCAAATCATGTAGCTATAAAAAAGTCAGCTGCTAAAATTCAGAATGGGCATTGACTAAGTAGATGGAGTATTAAGCTTTGTTGTCTGGAATATGTGAATGATTGCTAGGATAAGATTAGAGAGGATGAGGGCTAAAACTCCTAGTTTGTTAGGAATAGATCATAGGATTGTGTAAGCAAGTAGGAATAACCATCCTAGGTTGATATGTGGCAGTGTTATAAGGGGGTTTGCAGATGTATAGTTTATAGGAGATCAGGAAAAATAGGACGAGAGTTAGTAAATGTGGGATTAAGAAAAGGAATGATAGAATGTCCTGGATTGAGATATCAGGTGACTTCACTTTTCTAAGTGTATCACAAGATAACTCTTATAAGATTTTTGTGGCTCACATATAAAGCAAATTAAGCTACACAAAGTCTTTACAATCAGTTCCTCTGGTATATAGTCCACTGCCCCCACTTTCCCTGTCCAAACATCTTTTGGGGATGGTCCATGCCTCATGTAACTCAGAATTAGATCACTCCCTTCATCCTGATTTGCTCAGAACATAGCCATCAGGTCTGTGAAGCAGATATTCAAGGGAAACTATAGATGAAGTCTTCCATCTTGTCAAGAAATATATTCAACAAGGGATAATTTTGGTTCAGAGCACACAAAATGTTGAGTTGAGGAGCTGCAATTAGATTAGAGTTTACACACATCTATATACTCAAACTTGTGACACTGCTGCTTGCGTATATGCTCCAGGATACAAGCTAGCTTCTTGAAAGAAACCAAATCATCACTATAGGACACTGGCATTTTCTACAAAACTGAACTGAAACATTCCTTTCTCTTTCTGAGAAGCTGTCCAGAGACTGCTAATAGTTGTCTGGCCCAAAACTAATAAAACAGCTCACCCTATGCCAGCATCCATCCAAAATCCAGACAAGCAACTGATGAAACCCTTTTCCCCTTCATGGTTTCAAGCACTGTACAAGGCCTGAATTTTGTGAAATGTCAGAGGTTAGGCTTGACAGTGCTTTAGTCTTTGCTTCCATGTTGAAAACCTTATAAGCCCCAAATAAACATCTTTCTTCTCTACCTGAATTTAGGCACATGTTGGAAATCCAAACCTTAAGTAATCAGAGAAAACATACAAATTTACCCTAATACTTATCACCTGAGTAACTAATGGGAAATGCCCTCAGCTGGGGAAAAATGAAGGTAAAATCCAAAGATTAGCCAAAAGCATTATTAAGAAAATGTACCTTTTTTTGTTTGTTTCACAATGATTCATTAGAGATGTGGATTTCTGAAATAAAATTTACATTCTGAGATTTGTAGACATTCTCAAGGACTAAACTCTATTCTATGAGACAAGCAGCATTACATCCCTGTACACTCACTTAAAACTGAAGGAATTGTTTCAGTCAGTAAAATAAAACAGAGTTAGAGTCTTTCAACTACTTCTGAAAATGGTAGTTGAATCCTATGTGGATTACATGTGTTCATGATTGACTTCCTCTTGTCATTTAATATCTGCAATCACAGTTTTTGAGACAGAGACCTTGGAGGAATATGAGTAAATGTGGAAGGAAAAGGTATTGTGAGGGAAATCCTATCTGAAATTACAGAATTCCGGAATTGGTAAAACTTTGTCTATTCTGGGTTTCGCTCAAGTGCCTAGTCCCCAGTGTAACCACACAGGCATTTGAGGAAGAAGCATTCAGAAAGCAAGGGGTATATTCAGATGCATTTATTCAACAATTTGTCTATCCCAATATCATGGTCTTAAGGGCGTTCATTTTCAGCAACTCCCACCTGCTCGAATGAGAACAGGAGTCTGGCGCTTCCTATAGGCAAGATTTTAAAAAAAATCAGTTTGAACTTTACAGACAAAAAAGTGATGGTAGAGAAAAGACAATGGACAAAAACCCAGCAGCATTATTTAAAATAGAGATGTTTCCAATTTATCTCTCTCTTATTCATTTATTCTTTCACTTATTCATCAAATATTTGTTGATTACTATTACAGGCTCACGGGATAAGAAAGAAAAAATCATGTCCTTACTACATTTACAGATCTAGTGGGGTGTTTCAGTGAGCCCCTGAAATAAGTCTTGAATCTATGTTTGCTTTTTTTACTCCTATGCTACCACCTTACTACCAGGTTTCCATCTTAGCTGATGCCCGGGCAATTGTCAGACCTTCTAATTGTTTGATGTTTCATGTTAGAAAAGTGGACATCTAAATCTGAGCGGTCTTGCCAAACAGATCCAAATGTCTATACTGCATTTTCCAAACCACTTTTTTAATTCTCCAAGTCAAATATCCATAAATCCTGCAATAGTTCCTCATAACTCTGTTTCCAGATTTCTCATCTTTTTAGCCATCCTTTCTTTGAATATATTGGGTAACAAAAGCTCTTGTATTTGTCTATTACTAGAGAATATCTGACACTCAGATACTTTTGTACTGGACCTTGTTATTTCTTCGTTTGAAGACATTTTAATACTTCCATGTCCCATAAGCATTAAGGTTAATAATACTGATTTCTAAATATATTACATACATAACCAGAAGCACCTAAGAGAGCACATACGTTAACTTGTTTCCCACAGTCATGCTCTTTGCAGTGTTTTGTAATGCTATTCACATTTGGCTACTTGAACTTAAATAAATAATTAAGTAGTATTAAAAGTTCAGTGTCTCAGTTGTACTAGCCATGCTTAGGTGCTATATTAACAGTTAGTAAATTGTGTCTATCTATGCATTAGAAAGCATAGATAGAGAATTTTCATCATTACAGAAAGTTCTTTAGATGAGGCTGGTATATAGAAATGAATTTGCCATTACTGATTTCTTAAGAAGACATAGAAAATGTCCTAATTGACTCTACCTTCCAGGCAACTAATGATGAAGAGAACCAACACATATAAGCCCTTGTTTGGTATTATTTACTCATCTCAAAAACCATCAAGAAGGGTAAGACCTTGGCTCTAAAAACTGTGCAGTGGATTTGTTTGGGACTTTTAATAGGCAACAAAATAAAGCCAATATGGAACCTTAGGAAAAATGTTGTGTTTGATAAAGCCAAATTAATCTCTTAACAATTTTCATATCTAAGAAATACAGGGAAATATGTTATGTTTTCTGGCACCCAAATGTTTCCCTCCTAGTTACACACATTTTGAATACCGGAAAGAATAAGGAGGAACTAGGAGGCTTTACAGACCAAGGGAATATGGCCTCCCAGCCCTTTACTCATATTTTCCCAAAGTTTCACCCTAAATAATGGGCTTTTTGATCTTGGCGCTTGGAAATTTCCCAAGTTTCAATGTGTTCTATTGCTTTCTCCTCCCCTTGAGTGAAAGTAATTTTTAATCCCAATGTCAACAAAACACGTAATGAGAAAATTAGCAAATGTTTTCAAATTCCTTTTACAAGTCTTTATGGTGGAAACAGATTCACCACAAAGCAGAAGTTTGGGGTCTGAAACTCCTACTCTGCAGAGCTGTTTTCATACTCTTGGCTAAATTCTGTGATCATTTAAAACAGCCCAAGAGGGTTTGTGTTATTTGGAAAGGAATTCATGTTGTAGGATAATGGAAATTTAGTCATTTGATCCTAAGTCAAAGTTTTTACTATCAAATGAATCCCAGAATAATAAAGTGTTTTCTGTGTCATTTGTGGAATCTCTTTTGTTTTTATTAATTCACAGTTTATTTAACCTGAAATGTACTTTTTCTGTGCTGCCAAAATGTAGACCCCTTTAAATGGCATGTTTACCATGAGTCATTTCTTGAGCCCTTTCAATAAAATGAAAGTTTCATTTCTGCTAATTTCTGTAATCCTTCACTTATTTGCTTATTTACTTACTTACTGGTTTACTAACATTCGTCACAACTTATAAGAGAAAATTTGTTTCCCTGGACTCCTTGAGTCTGGTTCCCTTCACCCATTTATTGGCACTTCAGAAAAAATTACTTCATTAAACTATTCTTATATTCATGAATAAAAATGTTATAAATATTTTTTGGCTTACTCAAATCTATTTATATTTACATATTTGGGGGCTTTAGAGAATACAACTACTGTTATCCTCAAGAATTATTTGTTGAAGGTATTTTGTGTATATAGGCTTTCTTAAAACACAGATTATCTACTGTTTTGGTATGAAAATCTGTTTTTTTAAAATCCAACTGTCAGCTGGGTGCCAGTGTATCACACTTGAAATCCTAGCTATTTGAGAGGCTGAGAGCAGGACGATTGTGGTTCAAGGCCAGCCCTGGTAAATAGCTAGTGATACCAGATCTCCAAAATACCCAGGGCAAAATGGACTTGAGGTGTGGCTTAATGGTAGAGCACTTGAATTGCAAGTATGAAGACCTGAATTCAAACTGCACTCCCACTCTCCCCAAAGAAAATAAAACACAGAATATTTACTGTTTTACTATGAAATCTGGGTTCTTATTATATAAGATATTTTATAATTATATCATATCAAATATAAGAAAAATTGAAAAAATTCATGCTAGTAGTATACTGGGACTTAGAAATATACATTAATGTTTGAAAATAACAAAATAATACATATTAAAAATTAAAGTTTATACTCACCTATTTTCCATACATAACATGCATTCATTGGAATAAGTAATTCCATCAGTCCCACAGACAGGGAGATAAATCTTGGGACATCCAACTGATTGTTTGTCACATTTAGGCTAAAGGTGGAATTAAACACACATTTCCCATTACTGACCATTCTTTGAGTTTATATAAAGTATTAAAATGGTTTTAATTTCTCTGAGGACACAGCTGAATTGGGGAGAGTGACACTGAATGTTGCAAGAGAAGGAATCTGGAGTCAGAAAATCTGGTTTCAAGTTATGATGCTGCTACTTACAAGCTGTGTGACATTGATGAGTCTCTTGGTTCCTCCCTGAGTCCCAATCACTTCATCAACAAAATGGGAATGATATTATCATTTTCCCACCTATGTCATAATGCAATAGGGACATAGGTTATTTTAGATAGGTGACAGAATGTTCATGCTCAGAATTATTGCAGGTGCTGGCTTCTTTTATGTCAACCAGCTGCATGGGACATGTTCTTCCTTATACACTATAGCCCACTCTTACAAGGTTTCCTTCAAGCATGTAAAATCATTGATTGTCTTTCATTCTTAGAGTCTTTGAACTCTGGTTACTCTACTACAATAAGAGCTAAAAATCAAATGACTGTTGTAGACCAGTAATGGTCTTCAGTACTTTTTTATGTCTTATTCTACTTAAAATATTTAATAACTAACATTCAAAAACTCATCCTTTAAACAGAATTGTCAATAATTCATTCATTGACCAATTTTACAACTGTCATGTAAAATTATAATTATAATACTCTTTCTTAGGTGAAGACAATGAATCACAAAATGATGAGATCATCCAAAATGACAAAGTAGTTATTTCTGGATCTAGAAACCAAACCCAGTCATTCTTGGGCCTTAACTCTTAATTCATTCATTCTGCCCCTTCCTCCACCAGTTATGTTTTGCTAATAATGCTCATTCATCCTACATGGTTCAATAACTCTCACATACTTGGGGCCACCTTCTCTCACCTCTGTAACTAGGTTATATTCCTAATGGTATCAGATCTTCTTCACAATACTTATCACAAATGCAATAGTGCTTTCACTCATGAAATTTGGGTTTATTAGCTGCCTCGCCTTAAACATAACTTTAATGACAAGAGGATACTTCTTCCTCTGGTCTCCAAATTTACTGAACATTTATGTCTATAACTTTTTGGAAAACATGGAAAGGTGGGATTTAAATAGTTTTTCTGGAGAAGAAACTTAGTTTACAATTTTCTGCTGTTCATTATAAATAAGAACTGCACCTGGGTAGAGGGGGAAATTTGCACTAATGTGCTCAAATAGTTTAAGAAGGAAGGGCTACTTGGAGTGGACTTGAGAAAGCTTCCTCTTAAAATACCTGTCCTATCAACATGCACTAGTGTATATCAAAAACTCTTTCACAGCAAGCATTAGACAGTTGCATAGCACTTGTCCATGCCTCAGTGAACTTGTCTCCAACACAGAACTGTGGGCATGGAGAAACTGCTATAATTATCTGCATTTAACAGGTTTAGCCTCCCAGCATTCAGACTCCTCATCCTGACTTCAGGGTAATATGAAAGGTGACTGAAAAAGTACACTGTTTTTTAGATCTAACAGTTTCAGCTTAAGAAGTAAGAAGTTACAAAATTCTCCTTACCATTGTTCCTACAGAGTTATCTGAAGCATTGCCTAGAAAATGTAAATAAGAGATATTAAATTAGATATTAAGTGGGAGAAACCAGATACATTCTTTGTTAGTGAAGCATATACTGTTTTCTTAGAAGTTGTGGTATCCTTGTAAACATCTTTCACCCCCCACTTCTTCTTATTTTTAACCCTTTTCAAGGACAAATGACTGGTTTCCATTCACTACCAGCCTGCTAACATCTTGAAACAAAGTCAATCAAAAATTAACTATAACCAAATCATTTCAATGTGGCATTTCAGAAAGTTGATTCTTTTCCTTGAAAATAGAAACTATCTACTTACTGTTTGAAATATATCAAGTACTGAGCTAATTTCTTCTGAATTCACACTAGCATTCTTCCAACCAGCCATTGGATCTTTTACCTCAAATTAATGAATAGAGGTATGGCTCACTTATTTAACCAGCTATGAAAAACAATTACCATCAGACATAACCAGGGAAATCTTCTGATGCAATTACATTTAACTCTCCTATTTAGTTTTGTCAAAAAGTGGCTCTTTTGCAATTTGACATCAGTTCCCAAAGTTTTTTCTCACATTTGCATTGCACAGAATGATTATAGGTCCAGTTGCATTTCTTGAATTTAGACAAATTGGCTGCATTCTCCAGAAAACAACAGGTATTGCTAATAGTAATGTAGGGTATGGCAACTGTGGATATGAATGTGTTCATTGTAGAAAAAGGGCATTAATATGATTGTATTGAAAGGAAGAATTGCTGGTGAGATTTAATTTTGATATCAAGAATCTCTGAGGGTACAGAGAAGAAGAGCTCCTAGAACAATCTGAACGTGATGCTATTGTTGGGTCCTATTTGATTTCAGAATCTAGATAAGTGAACAAAAATTGATGAGCAGGTGCTCATTATGGGCATCTATTCGTATTAATTATTATGCAAAAATAGGGGAAAGACCTTTGCTCCCATAAATACTTAGCAAATGCAACAAGTGATATTTTTCCATTTGACAAAGTACTGATTTGATCTCCAGTAATATTATCTGGGAAATTGAAGATAAAGTTGAAAATGTTAATCACTTCCAATGCTCAAAGGAAAGAGATCACAATCTATTAAGTTCAGCACAATCTGACAACATTGACAAGATGAAGTCTGGAGATTTATGCACACTACCTATTCAAGCTGAATGTACACGGTCCAGATATCCTAAAGATAAAAAATTCCATGAGATCTGCAATTCCATGAGAATTTCCAGTTTGTAAATTGGTCTTAAGCCAATTTAAAGAGTTAGAAGGGTTTTTAAAGGTGAAATACCTTTCTTTTGTCTACCTTGTCTCTGACAAAGAGTCAGCCATGTCCCTAAAGTAAAAGCTTTCAACCTCCATGCACTTCTCACTAGAAATGTTTTATTCTATGTTATTAATTCTTCTTTCCATCATTTTCAATTAATCTTATTTCATTTCATTAGTACCAAAAGACTAGCTAAGACTAGCTAGGCTTATCTAACACTAAACTATGCCAGATTTCCAGAAGGCACTCTGTTCAGCAAAGTAAGGAGTCGAAAAGTTTGACTCAAATTTGTAAAACATGCAAAGACACCTACCAGATGAACTGAACAGGGCCAAGACAGTGAGAAGAAAGATGCTCACCACCTTCATTGTTGCACTTCTGGGTCTGGAGGTTGGTTGAAAACTGTCCTGAACTTTCCACTTCTCTTAAGGAAATAGGAACTGGTGGGTAATGTAGGCAATGGCAACACAGGCTCCACCTAATACACTGTGTAGTAGGTGTCCTTGGTTATTGATTGACTCTATTAAATAGGCTGACCTCCATGCGTGGGAAATGCCACCTGTGTAAGAAAGGAGAAAGGAGGGGTGGGTTCCAAATTCTGATAGGGAAACAATTCTGATGGCTAGCTAGTTAACTTGATCCCTAATTTCTCTTGTAGTTATGGAGAGGGCTTCCCTTCCTGAGTCCCATTTTCTCATTTGCAAGGTGAACTCAAAGGTTTGTATACTTTCTCCTTCTAGATAAATATGCAGATATCTCTTTTCTCTCTTTTTCTGTAATTCATTTGCAAATCCTCAGGTGGTAGACAGACGGTCAAGTAGGAGATAGGGAAGATTCAGTTTCTTCAATATATCTGCCCTGGAGCTGGATTGTGCTTGCAGCTATAGACTCCTAGAAAAGTGGTTCACTTTTGCTGTGCCTCAATCTATTCATCTGAAAATTGAAATAATAATAGTGCCTAACTCAAAGAATTGATCTTTCATTCAAAGATATGTACTGAGTGTCTATCATGTGTTGTCAGAAAATGATTCATTGTTTCTTATGGTTCGGCATGTCTTCTAAGTAGTGGTATTGATCACATTTGTTTTAATCTATCTCTTCTGGAGTATTAGTTAACAGATTTAGAAAATGAAATAATGTCTCCCTTTTGTACAAAGGGTCAGCTTGTTTACTGTCTAGAATAATAAAGGTATCATTTTCCAGGGCAAACCTGACATAAACTTATTGTCCCTTTAAGATATAGGATTTTTATAAAGTTTGGTTTCTTTTTTCATGTAAAAAGAATGAGTATTACCTAGCCCTTTCTACAATGTCCTGTGGAAAATGGGGTTTGGGAAGCCAAGATAAATGTTAATATATAGCCAGTATTGAAGAGTATTTACTACCCTTGTATCTGACCTAGAAGTGTCTATCTTCTGCCATCTTCCATTAAACTGTCACAGACCAATGTGTTTTTTCCAAAGTAGGGTAAGGGTAAAATCTTAAACCTTTTATAAGTCTCAACCTCTGTGAAGTGCTGCACTCATCTCTTGGGATATACTATTGATTACAAAGGACCAAATTAATGTCTTCATATGGAGTCTCCATGCATTTTTCTTGAGTAGGACACAAAACAAAAAGTAGCTAGGGATTATAAAATATATCAGGTTACGGTAATCATTAAGGTGAAAACCAGGAGAAGATAATAGAAGATTTGTGAAATACTTATGACAGAGTGGTTAGAGAAGGTATTATTGACTAGGTAACATTTGAATAGACTATCAGTTCCAGGTAGAGAGAAAGGAAAGTGTAAAGGCTCTGAGGCAAAAGTAGCTGATATGTTTGAGAAACCTCTAGCAAGATGATCTTCCTGGAGCAAAGTGTTAGAGAGAAAAGCAGAACATGAGATACAGGAAGCAGTGTGGGCCTGAATCATGGAGGGCCATGCAGGGCATAGTAAAAGCTTTGGTTTTTATCAAAGGGAAAAATTTGGAGGAAATTAAGTGCTTTCTTGGCATTTTCATTTGGGTATTTTGTAGGCAAGTCAACATTTAATGTGTTCCATACTGCTATGTGATCATTCACCAACAAAATTTTCCTTTTGTCCTCACCCCAGCCCATAGCTTCTTTTCTTTGCCCCTGATTATTCTAGTCAAATTCTCAATATTCACCTTGATGTTCCCCTTTCCTCTTACCATGCACCATCTTCCACACTTAATTTGTTACCAAGTACTCTTTTGGGCTCTGTGTCCAAGATAATCTCAGTTCTGTACATTTCTCATCATTTTCCATTGTCATAGCTTAGGCAGTGCTATCATTTTCTCTTTGGATTATTACTATATCACTCCTTCAAAATCCTCATAACAACTCAATAAATGAATCCAAAGAGACTAAATGTGCTGAAATGTCTGTCAAAGAGCTCAAAGGCTGCTTTTAAAAATTTATCAATGCCTCAAAGAGAATTCAACAACAGATAAATGAAGTTAGTAAATCAATCCAAGACCTAGAGAAGGAAGCCAGCAACTTGGATGAGAAATTCAGCAAGGAGATAAAAAATATTTTAAAAATCCAGAAGTATAGGAAATGAAAACATCAAGAACTCAAACAAAAAACCAAAATGGACAGTATCATAAACAAACAAGATTAAGCAGAAGTAAGAATATTAGGATGGAGGTAAGATCAAGGAAATATTGCATTCAGAAAGCAATTTTAAAAAATGAACAACTGTGTCACAGTCTTCACTAACTCTGGGACATGATCAAGTGCCCAAATCTAAGAATCCATGGGGCAAACGAAGGAGCTGAAGTTCAGAGGAAAGACATAGAAAACCTATTCAATTAAATTATAGTAGTAAATTTCTGAAATATAGGAAGGATATACACATGTATAGACCATTTTCAACAGCAAATAAACATGACCAGACAAGAATCTTGCCATGTTACATCATAATTAAAATGTTAGGACTAGAGAACAAAGAAAAGATTCTGAAAGTTGAAAGAGAAAAATGACTACTTACATGCAAAGATAAATACACAAGAATCACTTTAGACTTCTCAAACCAAACCCTAAAAGTCATGAAAGTATGGAACAATATATTTCAAGCTCTGAAAAAAAACAACTGCCAGCCAAGATGACTACATTCAGCAAAGTTATCCTTCAATTTTGATGGAGAAATAAAGACTTTATAAGAATAGGCTAAGTCAGTTCATCCACCAAGTCTGCATTGCTTAAGTACGTAAAGGGAATATTACACACAGAGGAGAAAGAAAAGATAGTCACAAACACAGGAGCCTAAGAAAGAATAAAATTTAAAAGTAGAGTAGATAAACACATGAGAAATAGGAAGTATCAAACATATTAAGTTCAGCATACCAGCAAAACACAAAGATGAATAATGGTGAAAGGAAATAACAAGCAATGTGTGATTCAATGAGGTACAAAACTAATGGAACCACAGAAAATAGTAAATACCTCTCAGTCATAACCTTAAATGTAAATGGTCTTAAATTTCCAATGAAAAGACATAGGTCATCTGATTGGATTAAAAAGTAGGATTCTTCAAATGCTTTCTCAACATCTATTGTTTCTTCCTCAAGGTTCTGTCCATAGAACAGTCAATAAATTTTCACAGAATACAAACATGATCATAGGGCTCTCTAGTTTCTCATTGTTCCAACTCCTCCAGGTGGATTTAGGCTGTATATGATTTGGTTTCTTTCTATTTCTCTTGCTTTATCCTCAATCAGCTCCCTCCCTGTTCCATCTGCCAGTAGTCTTGGTCATTTTGTCTCTTCCTCCTTGATCGTATGAAACCAAATCAAAACACCTTTTAAATCCCAAGACTCAGTTAAATGACATTGTCTCACAGAGTTGCTTTTGTTCCGCTTCTTCCCTTACTTCCCTTTTCATTTAGATAAGATTCTCTTGTTATATTATTTCATGGTTGGCATCTTGCCACATAAAATAATTTTAGTTGTATATCTATTTTAATGACTACTATGTATCATCTCTTCACCTTAGGGGGCAATATGATTGTTTGCTGCAGTAACTAGGGAAGTGACTACAAAATAATATGTACTGAATAAATATTTGTTGAAAACATAAATTCAGTCCAATATGTACTGGTTTTCTCAAGAATGAAGGTGAATGCCTTGTTCATTTCTGTGTTTTCAGTGTCTCCATACAGTAGTCATTTATTGGTCCACTCACCCTTTAATTCATTCAAACTATGGGTAAAGTTCAAATAATCATGGAGTCCTACTGTCTAAAAGCTCTCAGCTATGTTTGGGAAATTGATGTGATTTCTGCTCTCATGGAGTTTAGTCTTAGCATTGATACATATTAGTTGAATCAGTAAAGTTCTTTCTCTTTCTCTTAAATCATTATTTAAATAGAAGTTTTGTTGCCACTAAGAAGGTTCTAAAAGCCACTGTAAAGGATAATTCATATTTGAAAAAGTATAGTTTTCTTTATTCTTACAAGAACTGTGGTAGAGGAAATTGGCTGGGGGCTTGTCATGGAATATCTTTAGGTAATAGTAGCAACAGTAACAATATTCAGATTTAGGTTTGCCTAATGTCAGAGCCTGGGCTCTTTTAATCAAATAGTGATTTTTATATATTTTACTCTGAATCTAAAGAAAAAATAATTTTGTTTAATGGTTAAGCATATCAACACATATGAAGAGACAAGCAGTCATTAAGAAACAATTTAGTCTTATTTTTACTTTTTCACAGAATTTGGGTTTGAACTCAGTGCCTTTCACTTACTAGGCAGGAGCTCTACCTACTTGTGCTGCACTCCCATCCCTTTTTGCTTAAGTTATTTTTCATTTTAATCATATTTTGTGGCCTGAGCATATCTCATATTGCTGGGATGACACCACATCAGCTTGTGTTGTTGAGATGGAGTCTTGCTAACATTTTGCTTAGTCAGGTCTTCAACTGCATTCCTCTCAATCTTAGCCTCCCAAGTACTTAGGTGTGAGCCACAGGAATTTATTTATTTTTTCTTTATTGACAACACCATTTTCAGGCAAAGTAAGTATTAGTTGAGACTTCCAGGGTTTACAAATGTTCTCTAGAATAACTATGTTTGTCATTGAATTGGGAAGGATCAAATCATCTTTTCCCACTCTGACTATGATGTTTTAATCCTATCTAGCCCATGGTTAAATATTTAAGATGATAAAGAAGGAAAATTCTTTATGGGGAACTGAATCCTGTCCTGGAATTTTCATTTATTTCTTTTAGTCCTAAACCTCAGAACAATTTTGCTTTATTGACCCTATGATATTCCTTCAAATATTTGTTAATAATGTATAAAGTCCACTCAAAAGCCCATCTTCTACAAAATAACCCAGTCTATCATCTGCTTCTCATTTGACATT